GACTATTGATAATCACGACGGATCCAATAAGGCATACGGATGCATTTTCACATGTCAAGTAACAAGGCTCATACATTTGGAGCTCGTGGGCGACATGACCACAGAAGATTCCTCAACATGCTTCGAAGGTTCTTTGCAAGAAGAGGAGTACCGCAAACTATCACTTCTGACAATGCACCAACATTCCTGTTGGGGGAGCGAATCCTGAAAGACGCCACAGAAAATATGGTCAACACCACTGAAGTAGGAAGCGAAATAGCAGGGCGAGAGATTAGATGGAACCATATAACGCCTTATGCACCGTGGCAGGGTGGATTTTATGAGAGGCTTATCCGCTCCATCAAAAACTCGCTGTACAAAACGCTTGGAGTGCGAACCATCACTTTTAATGGCCTCAGGACCATGCTCACGGAGATAGAAGCGGTCTTGAACTCACGACCTCTAACTTATCAAGAGGAAAAATGGGAAGAACAACCAATACTTCGATAGACTTCATTCAAAACAAGATGACTCTGGATTATCCTCTGGAGTACATAGGTAGAGAGGGACAAGACCGAATTTACCACACTCCAGAAGAAGCACAACAACTAGCTACACAACGTCAAACTGAAGCGGCGCTGAAAACATCTGTAGACTTGACTGAAAAGTTCTGGAAAGTCTGGACTGAACAGTACCTTACGAGCCTGAGAGAGCAGCATAAAATTCGGATGAACGAGAAGGTGGAACAAGAAAATCGCCAAAGGAAGGAGATATCGTACTCTTGTGGGACGCAGTACAGCCCAGGAACACATGGAAAACCGCACGAATCGTACAAGTAGATGAATCTCCTCACAAGGCGACGCGAGAAGTCGTCGTGGAAACGCCAAACAAGCGACGCTTACGACGACCTATAAATTGAGTGGTACCTCTAGAAATCGACAAAGAAGAGATCCCGAAGACTTCCTTCCCATCGGAGGCACCTGCTACTCGATATAACCTCCGTTCGAGACGTCCCACCAATTATAATGAACAGGAAGAACAAGAACCGACGCGCAGAAAAGCCCCAACCTTCGCCTCATCCGTAACATCGCTGCTCACGGTAGCTCTACTTTCATTGTGCGTGACGAAAACAGCAGGATCAAGCAGCAACGGGAGCTATCAACTTCAGTGCATTGAAGGAGGAGTGTCTCTTCTGCAAGCGAATCGACAGCCCTACGAAATTTGTGCAGAAGACTTCTGTATGGAATTCAAAACGCCGCGGCAACAGGAAATAGTAAGATTTCCCCCACAAATCACTCTGCACGAACAACTCGTCAAATGGAAAATCTTCGACGGTGAAGACGTTCACATAATGGAGACAACGTGCAAGGCAGCACCGTTTTGCGAACAGATAGACTGCACCTTCTGCGCAGTGATGGTGAGCAATCCAGAATGCTGGCCACGCACGGCTATACTAGTCACCCGATTGCTAGTATACTTGGCGATAACCATGTGCTACTGCCTGTTCCACGTGCCAGTGCTGTCAGGAACACCGATACTCTATGGACTAAAGCTGGCAGGAATGTGCGGATGGTGATGTTCAGGTTACTATGCCGATTGCTGAAAATCGCAGCAGGCAACGACCGACGAAGAAGAAGAAGAGCATGGATGAGAGATGTTGCTCTTCTTACGATCCTCTGCATTAGTGGACTAGCAGCCGGATGCCAAGATGTTGAAGTGTTAACGCACCAGACGCAAGAATGCACTCAATCGGGAAACGAGGAATATTGCACTGTCGACACCACAGAGATACTGAAAATCAATCCATTCAAACAAAAAGCCTGCATGAGGCTTACAAGTAACCATACCAGCGTTTTGGAAATCAAGTTGGCTTGGAAGAATCTCAACCTGTTTTGCGAAAAGGAAACTCTCTTGTTCTCCAGAAGCACTAGACATGCATTGCTGGATAGCAAACGCTGCCCTCATGCCGGATCATGCACAGGAGACAAATGCGCAGGGATAAACCGGACATCAAAAGTGAAAGAACTGCAACGAGTCAACGACTATCCGTGTGTCACTGGATGTGTTGAGAGGTGTGGAGGACCAGGCTGCGATTGTTTTTATCCCAGCTCAGGGTGCCTATTTTACAGGATATACGTTGTTCCAACGGATGATAACGTGTACGAAATCTTCAGATGTCCGCGTTGGAAACAGTCGGTCATATTGAACCAACCAAAAAACAAAGCATCGTTCACTATAACTCTCTCATCGCTGAGCACACCACCTACGCCGGCCTTGAATTCGATGTTTCTCACAGACGGAAGGCGATATGCCATCGTGGAAGCGCACCAGGAACCACTGCTGGACTGCAAATGTGCGGCAGCCGAAACGAAAATGATGTGCGATTGCAAAGAGGTAAATCTCACTTCCCTAATCAGCACTCCGCAACATCGATTCCCGATTATACGACCTAACCTCGAATCTCGCGCTATCGATGAAAAGCTCACAGCTCGGATACCTCAGCTGCCCACAGCAGAATTTATACTGCGAATGAGGAGCAAAGTTCGCATCACGGCACTGCGATCCGACGCTATATGTTCAGTGGAGAACGCCTACAGCACAGGATGCTACAACTGTGCTAAAGGAGCGATAGCCTTACTAATGTGCCGAGCTTCGGTAGCGGCAACAAAAGCTGAAGTTGAATGTGAAGACAGCCTATTTGTCATCCCATGCAGTCAGGAAGGAACGAGACCAATACCACATTTGTTGCTGGTAAAGCGCAATTTCATCGAAACTGCACAGTGCAATGTGGAAAGGTTCAAACGACATTCGAGATCTCAGGTATCCTACACCACACGGGCAACTTAAATATTGCGGCGAGAAGAGTTCTACAAGGCGAAAGTGAATTATTCTCGGAGATAAACTTACCAGATTTCTCGCACCTGGTACAGACATTCTTGATGTGGTACGGTATACTAGGAGCGACAGTATTGGTAGTAATCGTTGCCTTGGTGATAACGTACTTCTACGCCTCCAATACGTGCGTGTTCTCGGTCATTAGAGCCCTCTTTGGATTATTCTATGCACTGGCTAGATCGGCATATCGAATGTTTTGACTCTTCTGGCTGTTACCCTACCGATTGTTCAAATGCTCTGTTCAATCAGGAAGAAGAAACCAGAAGAAAAGAACTTGTGAGATTACCGGAGACTACAGCCACAACGACAGCGCAGCAACGACAAACTAGCCCGTCCCCAAACCGTTGGTTAGGCCGGAGTATACGAACTTCGTAGTTCGTATTGTTCTTTTCTCCCTCATGTATAAACTCATCACATCCTTGTAGTTTAGTCATACTTTGCCAATTGCACAGCATCGTTGAATTTAGCAGCTTGCATCGTTTTTGCTATGAGAAGAATTCGCAGATGTTCGCGTCAGATGTAAATTGCTCAGGTTTTTAGCTAACAGTAGGATGTCGCGCGCAGCTGTGGCTTGATATGTGATCACGCATATAAGTAGCTGACTGTGCACAGTCAGAGTTATTCACATGTACGACTCTTGCTCATTTGTTTCAACATTATTTCACTCCTATATTTGTGTTGTAGTTCATCATTTAGTAATGTATTTTGTTATTTGTTCTACCCGTGTTTGTTGTTATCTGTTTAATCGTGTTTATTGTTGCTATTTTGTTGCCTAGATAAAGTTTAATTACCCAAGTTTGAGGTGTGCTCGTGCGTATACGAAGGCCCGCGTGGCAATACTTTTGGTTGTGGTTTGGTATTCGAAGTCTTATAGTTCTGATATATCCCCACCACCAACCAACACACTTGTTGTCCCTGAACCTTCCTTCCTTTTCTTTTCGCACTTTCTCCAAACATACACAAGTTTAGAAAACATACTCAGGGTCAGCACTTTGAGCTCCATTCAACGGTATTCGAAAGTTTCAAATTGCTTTTTCGACTGAGCAGCTTTACTTAGCTAAAGTGCGTGTTAATAGGAATCTTTAGCCGTTTTCACTATTCTTCGCAGAAAATCTTGAAATTTCCAAAAATGCAATTTTTCTTATGCTTAGGCTGAAATCGCGAAAAGTGATGCGTGAAATTGAAGCTTAGTACTGCTAGACAATTACAATTTACGATCGGCTGCTATCCTGCTACTCTCCAAGCATTATGGTTTCTCAAAATTGAGAAACACTAAGAAAACTTACTTTTTGGGCTATAAAATTCTTGGTGAAGCTATAAGTGCAGTATTGCATATTAAACTGCGAAAGATTCGCTGATAGCTTTGTAATGTACACGGAAAGATTGCTCTAGTGACCTAGAGTTTCAAACTCGGAATTTACCCGGACAAATTCTGTCAACCTAGTGTTTGCTATTAGTCATCGAATAACGTTACTCTTGCGCTGACCAAATTCAATCTTCGCTTGAGCAGCAAGGGCCCATCATTTTCCTAAAGCACATGGGCATTTGTTGAAGATACTGACCATGTACCCGACGCTTGCGTCTCTCGTTTGCTTAGAGCAACTCAATAGAACCTTTGAAATCTTTTGAAACCATTTCAAAAGTATCGGAGAGCGCGGAAATCGCGAAACTGGAATTGTGAAAGCCCCCATTTTTAACATACATAGACTAAATGTGGGCTCCGTCAAAGTTGAAGATGAACAGTCATGGATTTTCACAATCATCGAAATAATGCCGTACACACAAACGGTGCCACAACCTAGAAAATTCTCAAAAAGAATTCAAGCTTGCTACCTTTATATGTCTTTTGCATAATTATTGCCTTTGTGCGTTGTTTCTATGGAGAAATGCTCTAACTGCAGCTAACGCTATGTCACTAGAAGGCGCATATATGGTCAAAATACCATGGAGACTTTAATGATATGCAGACTATCGAGATCGGCGTTTGCAACTTCCGAGCAATCCGTTGATAACAAGTAGCACATAAATGCCGCTCTGCAAATTTAGTGCTTATCCGCTGCAAATTTGATTTTTCAAAGAAGAGAAACCTGCAACTTTTGTCATACATTTTATGTATTTTAGCGATTGGTTGCTAACCCGCTTCATTTTACCGGTTGGTACGGTCATGTCGATTCAACATTTTTGTGGCAAGAACAGCCCTTTGGTCGGAAACACCTCGGGATATGACGAAGTTGCTCAGATATTTGATGATAGGCTGTACGACGTGGAAGTTTGTTTCTATCTTTTTGTGGCAGCTGTAAAATGTTATTAACAAGTCGGATATTATATTTCTATTTTTATGCAAATCGAATTTCAGTATTAATGTAATTTTTCGGGCTAATGCAAAAGACACAATCCATAAATATCTTTATAACATTTTTTTTCTCTTAGAATTGCATGAAAAACCCGCAAACGCATTTCGTTTTTTTTTCATTAGTTATGAAATCTATTATATAACTACTTGGTTTGCTCTACTCAAAGTTTTCGCTCTCTTTTGGAAAACTCATGAGAACAGCGAAAGTTTGTTTAACAAAAATTGCAAAAGTTCAAAATTATTTGTTGATAAACAAGTCAATGTTGCTGACCAAGAATATGGACATCGGACTAAACTTAACCTTCAATTTAAAAGTTTTCGCGACTACAGCGTGTAATAATAATTTATCTTAATTCATCCAAATTTCTATGCCATTTATCTGTTTTACACAATTCAAAGTCTCATGTTTTTCTGGTATTTTCTTAAATTTTTGAACATCTTTATCTATTAGTAAATTTATTACTTCCTTCCAAAAGTAATTTTGCTTTAAGAAGTGTAATAATCCACAGGCTAATGATTACCCGGAGATCTCAACTGCATGAAGCAAGCTTTCATCAATTTTTTCATATGGTTATGCTTGTATTGCAGTTTGGTGAACGACGGTGCTTTTAGAGAACCACTAAAAACTACCACTCATGCTTGTGCCGTCGAGTTCCGCTATTCTTTTAACCCCCCCCCCCCCCCCGAGGAAGTCCAAGTAACGGATGGATTGAGCAAAGTCTATAGAATACAGAAGAATTCCTTTCCTTTTCATAACTCGCATAACTTTTTGATAGAGGTTTGTTTGATGCCATCAAATTTCAAAGATCAACTCAAAAATCATAGATTATCAGCAGCGGAGCAACTCGGCTGTCACTATATACAACTTTTTCTCCTTTTCCTAAATCGTGTTTTTCATTTCTGTTTCTTAGAGTTTTAAAAAATAAAATCGGATAAAATTATCATGATTTGTGTATCTGAAGCCGTCCCGTGCGGAAGTTGTCTTTCGAGGTTTGGTATGTGTGCATTTCTTTTCTTCTCCTGCAGTTTCACCTTTCGAAGATTTGTTGGTATTCATGCGTTCACATCTGAGTCTGCATTCAAAAGAGGATACTTGTAAAGAATGCAATTAGAGTCTTTTGATAATCTTTTGTCTATGAGATGTTACGCTCTTTTGAAGGAAAACGAAAGAACTTTCGCAACGATCCAATTCAAAAAAAAATGTAATTTCTTTTTCATCTTAAAAAGTTGTATCAAGTTCCTGAAAACGATAATTGATGGGGAGTCAAAGCGCCCATTCTAGTTGATATACATGTTGTTGAAGTCAATGTTGATGTTGAGCTGCAATCCTTATCTGCCATGTGATTTTCGAAGAAGGTTTAGTGTCAGAAACAAAAATGTAGAAAAGGTTTATAAAAAGATTTTAACAAGCACCCCCTGTGCCATGAACGACTGCGTTCTTTCTCCACCATTTTCTCGTCTATTTTATGACTAGGAGACGCGTGACCGCATTGCGAACATTTTTTTAATACAGTGCTGGCCATAGCTATAAAGCCACCCTAAAAATCACTGTAATTTGCTCTCTCTTGCTCGAAATTGTCTGAAAAACCACTATTCTGTGTGCAAACTAAGGTCATATCATTGACCAGAACAGCTCCCGATTTCACTGATTTTGGGCGTAGAAAATTGAAAATTTTGAAAAAAGGGTTTCCAAGGCTGGTCACAGCTATAAAGCCACCTCTCATTTCTAATCAGTAATACGTTTTTTGATCCTGAAATTTTTTGTACATATACAACATCAAAATCTAAAACATTTATCACACTTGGAAGCAGTCGCCTTTTTAAAAAGAAGATTCATCCTGCATTTTTTGCTCCAAAATGTATAAAAAGTTATAATGTTTGAAAAGGCTGCCTTTTCACCGAATTTTTAAGCATTTGTTTGACTCAAATGAAGGTTCTAGGCTTCGCCGAGCCTTTGCAATGAGTATGGTGAAAAGCACAGGAGTCAACATGGCATAGTCGCTGATATTGATAAACAAGCCTCATCTTACCGAGGTGCAAGCACGCTTCTGAGACGCAAAACTCGATTTCTGGCAAGCGAAAATTTTCGGTTGGAAGTTGGCACCTTGCTTGCATGGTGACTACCCATGCACAGAAGGCTGCCAGGCTTTTTACAAAGACGTATTTGCAGCATTAACGCTATTTGCAGCTTAGAACGCTTTGTCTACAGTTCGGTTGTGCGCAGTGTATCTCACAAAACTCCAAATTTCACTGCTTTGAACTCCTCATCAAGTCAAATCTTACTAAACTGTCAGAAATACTAGGAATTTGAGGTTTTGAGCTGTTTTCCGCTCGATCGAGCGGTCAGAGCGGGTCAGTGATCAGGCAGAGTGCACCACTCATTTTTGGAAAAAAGGCGTCCAAGGCGGAATCAAAAACCCTGAGAGTTGCGATGACGTTCAAGCAATGCGCACAAGTCTATGTTGTACAGGCGACGTGCTGAGCACGTGACAGAGCTTTTCGGGCATTAGAACTCAATTTCCGCGGTTTGAAAACTCATCTTGCTGGAGGTGAGGTTGGGGCTCGTTCATCAATATCAGCGACTACGCATGTTGACTCCTGCGCTTTTCACCATACTCATTGCAAAGGCTCGGCGAAACCTAGGACCTTCATTCGAGTCAAACAAATGCTTGGAAATTCGGTGAAAAGGCAGTTTTTTCAAACATTATAACTTTTTATACATTATGAAGCAAAAAAATGCAGGACGAATCTTTTTTTTAAAAAAGCGACTGCGTCCAAGTGTAATAAATGTTTTATATTTTGATGTTGTATATGTACAAAAAATTTCAGGTTCAAAAAACATGTTACTGATTAGAAATGAGAGGTGGCTTTATAGCTGTGACCAGCCTTGGAAACCCTTTTTTCAAATTTTTCAATTTTTCTCCGGCCAAAACCAATGAAATTGAGAGCCGTCCTGATTAATGATATGACGTTAGTTTGCACACAGAATAGTGGTTTTTCAGACAATTTCGAACAAGAGAGAGCAAATTACAGTGATTTTTAGGGTGGCTTTATAGCTATGGCCAGCACTGTATGTCTGAAATTGTTGTTCCTTGTTTCCAAAGAGTGAATAAACCTGGACGAAATAAATGACAAGTATAAACCTGCTAAGTACACGATTAAGCTTGTTAAGATAATGTGTGCAATGCGATCTCGCGTCTCCCAGTTTTGGAATGAATGATATGTACTGCAGCACTATTAAACAAATGGTGTATTAAAAATTATGTTTAAACTTATGAGTTTTCAAAAAGTATTTTCAGAAAACGACTATAGTTATAAGGACAGCATTCATTACTGACTTTGGTAGCGTATCTCACACCCTGCATGTCCGCTTGAATTAAGAAGGTTAAAACTTTTTTTTTGGAAGTATGTTTGCTAGTTTTCTGGAATAAAATAGAGCACATGGACCATAATAGCCGAACGACGGAGAGCAAACCGCCATATTGTATTAATAATCTTGCAACTAACCTTGACATAATTAATAGCCTTAACATGTATCAAATTCCTACTACTCTTGTGCAAAGCTGTCAGTTAAGCGCAAGAGCATCTCATGACTTCTTTCAGATTATCGTTTTGTAGAGAATGGACATAGTTCTGAGGTTAGCTTCTTCAGGCTAGCCTAATGCCATACACCATATGTCAAAAGGCTATGGCCTCCATAAACTATCTATGTCTCCTGAGACGGGAAAGTAACCCTTTTTTTGTGAGACGAGACTGTTAGGTATAATAAAGAAGGTGTTTCATTGTGTGTGTCAGCAAATCTACTCGTATATTTATAAGTTCTTGTACTTTTTGACGAAATTACAAGAAAAGCACCCAAAATCGAAAAATTTGTTTCGCATTACTTGAAACGTTCACCAATATAGTCAATTCATTTTCTCAAATAATGAATTACCCTCTTCCTGCCTCGATGCAATCCTTGAGAAACTTTGTGAATAAGTCTGCCATGGCAGTTAGTCTTCAAAAAAGTTTGTCCCATGCCTCTAAGTTATTGCCTTTTTCACTTTAAAAAATGTGCAGCGTGATTGAACAAGGTTTCGTCTACAACAAGCTCCAAAAAAATTTTTTTTACAGTGCTGTTGAAATGTTGGAACTGTTGGGATACAAAGTGCAGGCATGTATGCGTCGCATACTGAAAATTCGCGTACACTTGTGAGGAGAAAACAGAAAATTTCTGTCTAATTAAGCCGTAGCTATACTGTTACCCTATTTTGGCTATATATGTACTCTTATAGAAAACGTATGAAAAAAAAATTAACTCAGAATTAGTGACTGCTGCGTTTTTGTAGCTTTAAAATCCTTTTTGATGACGCTTGAGCATGACCGCAGGCAACATTTGCAAATATTTGTATGCCATTTTTGAGAATAGTTTCTAAACACAACTAACACGATGTGGGAGTAGGAACCCTATTCTACATTGTTAGATTGAACTGTTGTAAAATGTTCTTAGCATCTCCAGTTGCGGGTCGAGTTGTAAACAATAAAACTTTCAGTTTTCTCGCTCAGCAAAAACACTAGCTTGGTAGTTCGAGTTCCTAAAAAACATGTGACAGCCATTTTGAGCTCGGAAAGGTATAGCTTGTAGAAGATAATTGCATCGTTATGTGACAAATTGTGAATTGTAAATTTGGAATCAAAGTTACAAGTACTACATAGATTACGGTGACGCAAATAGCCTTCCGGACTTTTGACGCACTCTGTATAAACAGAGGCAAATCAATTTTTTTCATCTTTTCTTCAACATCAAGGTTTAATCTAATTCTGATAATCAGAATCTATAAATAGATGAGATATATCGAGACATATTAATAAGCTTAAAGGCTGATGACTAGCTGAATGGTTTTGAAGATGATATTCATTATTTTTTCAGGCACACCCATGCGAAGATTTCTACCATTTTGCATGTGGTAAATATAACATGAATGCGAAAAAAGACTTTTTATTGAAACTCCTCGAAAATACGCTTGCAACTCTGGAAGGTAGGTAACTCATGATTTAATACATCATTTTTACCAATGAGAATAAACGTCATTTATTTTGCGATTTCCCTCAAATTGAAAACATAAGCTCTACGCAGATGTTCTTGCTTAATATGGACGAAGTTTGATAACTTTTTGATACCTGAAACTAAGCGCTCCTTCATCCTTTATTATAATAGAAACTTGATGCCAAACGACGCGACGGCTGGATTGGTTCGTTTACGTGGATGGTTTTGATGCTGTTTCAAATAGACGCCAGTCGCAGAACCTCTTCCAGTCACAACAAAGATGACAATGCAATGATGACAAAAAAAAACTCAGAGGTCTAGCGCGACGAAACAGTATCATACGCAGGTGTGCTCTGCTGCTGCAGTTTAGTTGTGTTTTTCAGGCAAGCGCGAAACTGACAATTTACTGCTGTATTTTTGGAGGCCTGCAGTTCACACATCGTGTAAATACGTATTAGGTTGTCCGGAAATTAATGCAGGTTTTCATTTCCAACAGCAATAAGTCATACATTTCTCATTTTTGAATAGGTTACAAGGTACTTTTCGATAGAGCTAAACAAGATGGTTATCTTGCTCTAGCAACAGCTCTGATTCACCACGAGTTTCGAGCCAAAAACTAAAATCAACTGCCCGGAAAATTGAGAAAAATCGTAACTGAGCTCATAAAAATCCTACAAAAATTCTAACTGCTCACGTAAGCACAATCCACATAAGGCATCTATATACGCCATTGCCGTATTTTTTTCTCTGTTAGAAATCAAGAAAACAAAAATTATCGAGCATTTGCCAAAGTAGTGCTGTGCCATTCCCACATAAGTATTTGTATACTACATGCCTGTAGAAGTACAAACGTAAATTTCCAGCTCTCTACAAGCTTTATTTCTCGAGAAGTTTGAATTTTAGCTTGGATCACACTAGGGAAAACTGTATTTGACATTTCTCGAGAACTAAAGCCTGTAGAGAGCTGAAAATTTACCTTTGTACTTCTAAAGGTTTGTAGTGTACAAATACCTATGTGGTAACGGCACACCATTACTTTAGCAAATGCACGAAGATTTCCGTTTTCTTGATTTCTAACAAAGAAAAAAATACGGCAAGGGCGTATATAGGTGCCTTATGTGGATTGTGTTTACGTGAGCAAGTAATAATTTTTGTACAATTCTTATGAACTGAGTTATGATTTTTCTTATGTTTTCGGGCAGCTAAGTCTTTTTAGTTTTTGGCTCGAAACTCGAGGTTAATAAGAGCTGTTGCAAAAACAAGACCGCCGTCTTCTAGAGCTTGCTTTGTTCTATCGAAAAGTACCTTGCAACCTCTTCAAAAATGAGAAATGTATGACTTATTGCGGTTGGAAATCAAAAACCTGCGTTAATTTCCGCACAACCTAGTATAGTAGCGCAACATCGCCTTTTGAAAGCTTGAAGATTCTAATATTTTCGGCTTCTAGCACAAAAACAAATGCAGCAACGGCACATATGCATTTCTTTTGTGTATATGCGTGAGCGAATTTATGATTTATTCGAAGCTTCTTTGATTTCGGCTGCTCGAGGTATACTGAAGCTGGCGCACAACTAAGTTCCTTCTTATGTGGCTTCCACTGCTTTATCAAACGGAACCCTGCATTCAAATTGAAGTTGAGTAACGTATGACTTGATGTGGTGAAGGCAAGATTCTAAACACTTTCGCGATGACCTAGTGTACAGTTTATAGTTCTAAATTAGGGACATGGAAGCATCAACAATTTTTCAAGAAAACCATAAAGCCAGCTATTATTCAAAATATGTGAATCGCACTTTACTTACTTCACCAAACTGTTATCGATGCTTTTCAAAAAGCTTGAAATGACAATTTCAAAAATAGCTGAAGTTAGAGTAAGCGAAAATCGTGGATTGGAGCTACTGATGATTACTTGAGCGGTATAGGAAGAATCTGACAAAATAATCACTGTTAGAAACAGGGCTCGGAACAGGTGGCTTACAGGGACAAGCTGGATATTGTTTTGAAATAAAAAGGAAAGGATATCGTTGGAGTGGAAATCCAGCTTTCCCCCCCCCTTCACAACACAATCGCCCTCCGCTTTATGTCACCTATCTTCTACAGAAGACGCAAATTGTCATTTGTGCCTTATCGATGTACAAAATACCAAAAATTTTCTGTCTCAGCATGTTCGCCGGTTGGGCGCGCGAATTCGAAAAACAAAAAACTTGCTTACAGAGAAAAGAGAAAATGAAATGACACCAAAATCGGTGTAGATGAACAATAGGGAGTTAGCCCATGTGCGAAAAATTATGAAAAAATTATGTAATGTGAAGGCGCGGCAAACTTTTTTTTGAGTTAGGTGGCTCTCCAGCCACCTGGACAGCCACCTGATTGCTGTGAAAATAAAAAGTCATATATTAGGTGGGTCCGAAGGTTTTGTCAGTTTTTTCAATTCTTCGGCAAAAATGAAGACAAACAAACGCTTCAAAACGTATCCAATGCAGAATTTCTTCCTCTTTCCAGCAGCTAAACTCACATTATGTTTAGTTGCGAGAGCGATGAGATATTTGCTGGAAATCACAATTACTCGTTTTTACCATGTCCAAATTTCGCTAATTTTCAAAATATTTGTATGAGACTTTCGGGAGAGCCCCAGTAACTAGCAAATAGGGCAAACCTTTTGCCAAAAGAAGAAATTTTTTGTAGTCCCAGGGCTTGTCTTTCAAAGTTTCTACGATTTATTTTTTGAAGTGACCAGATTTTACATTCAGCTCATTTCAACTTCTGAGAACACAAAATGTTTAACACTTTAGTCACTATTCGATGCAGAGCCGGGACAGACGAAGTTTGTGGAGAAAATTGCAGTATTTCTATCTCAGTAGTGCGCACTGACGTAACCTATGTTTCAAAAACTTCATACCTTGAAGCGAAAATCGCTCATTTACTTTGTAATAGTAACGGTAGTAATGAGCGTGTGTTGAAACCTCAGTTTTCTGTAGAATAGCAGTGTTTGGTGCAATAACAGGTTATGCGATTTTTTCGAAACACAAGACTTTTAGAAAAATGATTAGCAAAAATCTGAGAAAGCAGCTGAAAAAAGAAAAGAGTTGCATAAGTTGACAAAAGGTTTGCCCTATCTGCTAGTTATTAGGGCTTCTCCAAAAGTCTTATACAAATAGTTTGAAAATTAACGAAAGTTTGACATGGTACTAGATAGGTTGTCCGGAAATTAGTGCAGGTTTTGAATTCCAACCGCAATAAGTCATACACTTCTTATTTCTAAGCAGGTTGCAAAAAACCATTCGATAGAACAAAGCAAGCTCTACGAGAAGGCAATCTTGCTTTAGCAACAGCTTTCATCTACCTCGAGTTCCGAGCCAAAAACTAAAAAAGACTCAGCAGCTCGAAAATTAGAGAAAAATCGTAATTCTGTACATAGAAATCCTACAAAAATTCTAGCTTGCTCACGTAAACACTATCCACATAAGACATATATGTACGCCGTTGCCGTATTTTTTCCTCTGTTAGAAATCAAGAAAGCGGGAATTTTCGTGCATTTGCCAAAGTGGTGCTGTGCCGTTTCCCACATAAGTATTTGTATACTACATGCCTGTAGAAGTACAAACGTAAATTTCCAACTCTCTACAAGCTTTATTTCTCGAGAATTTTGAATTTTAGCTTGGACCACATGACTAGGGAAAGCTGTATTCGATATTTCTCGAGAACTAAAGCTCATGAAAACCTGGATATTTGCGTTTGTACTTTTACGGGTATGTAGTATATAGTATACAACTACTCATGTGGGGACGGCACAGCATCACATTGGCAAATGCACGAAAATTTCAGTTTTCTTGGTTTCTAACAAAGAAAAAAATACGGCAACGGCGTACATATATGTCTTATGTGGATAGTGTTTACGTGAGCAAGTAATAATTTTTGTACAATTCTTATGAACTGAGTTATGATTTTTCTTATGTTTTCGGGCAGCTAAGTCTTTTTAGTTTTTGGCTCGAAACTCGAGGTTAATAAGAGCTGTTGCAAAAACAAGACCGCCGTCTTGTAGAGCTTGCTTTGCTCTATCGAATGGTATATTGCAACTTATTTAGAAATAAGAAATATATGACTTATTGTGGCTGAAACTCAAGACGGACACCCCACAGATACCTCAAAATTTCCAAAGTGAAGAAGATGTAGTCACGACAATCTTGAGCAAACAATCTGCTCAGTACACGCCATAGCTTTTGGGAAAGTTATGTGGTTTAATGTCAACGGCGCGAGTTCTCTAAGCCACTGCGCCTTTGAAGAAATAGAGAGTTTGGCATGCCGAAGATATACATTGCTCAAATCGACTGCAAAGTGAAAATTAGGAAAAAAGACTGCGTGTGAGGAAGTACAAGTGAGCAAACGCTCGAAATATTCTAAAGGCAAAATTCATCTTTTTTCAATTATATTCGAAATGCAGCAAAATATTTGGAAGGCTGATTATGTCGCAAGCTTTCCGCCAGTTATGCATTCGCCAATTATGCATTGATCAGCTCAACGATTGCAAGTAATGTGCAGCTACTGGTGGTGTTACTTAAGTAGTGTTACTGGTGTACATTCATGATTTACGTGAATTGCATGTAAGCTTGATATGCTGGCCGCCAGTCTCGGGTGCTCTTTGCAACACTACGATGATCGAAAAATAGGTTCAATAGTGTGAGAATTTGTTCATCCCCCCCCCTTTCACCCCTGAGCGGGTATTAAGGTAACTTCCTTCACCAAAAGCCGGAAAAAAATCAACAGTGAGGTAAGATTAAGCAAAGGAGATATTTGTACGGGAATTGTTTGTGCGTCGGAGAGAAGGAAGAATATTTATAGGCCATTTATGTACTTCCAGGAAGGAAAAAAAATAGCAGCTTCTGTAGTGCACAGCATGTCAGCTAGGAAAGTTCCGTGCAACAACGTTCTCCTTTGCTTTTAGGGAATAAGTGGTTTGAGGTCCGTTCATAGAAGTACCTAGTAAAAGGTGTGCATAATGATTTCTGGACACTTACGAGTTTTCAACATAAAAAAATTATATATTTTTTGAATGAATAACTGGTGCAAGGAACTAGTGACCATCGAAACTGCTTCGTCCAGATGATATATAGTATGTCTAAAATCCGTCCAAGAAAGTGCCTGGGTGATGTCCTAGTGATAGAGATTTTCGAGTTTTTGTCATTAAAAAAAATTCGTAAGTTTTGTATTAGGTTGTCAAGAAAATAATGTCGGTTTTTATTTGCTTGCTTTGACAAAGCAACCAGACTCAACCCAACAAAGGGTAAGGGGGACTGTTCGATAGAGCGAAGCAAGCTCTACAAGAAGGTACTCATGTCTTTGCGCCATGCTCGATCTACGGAGGGTTCGAACTCAAAATCTAAAGATTTCCAAATGCCCAAAAAATCGAAAAAAATCAGACCTTCGTCCAAATAATTTCTACGGACCTCCCACTCCCTCACATCAATACTATCGATATTTGATATCTATATGTGCGATTGCCGTATTTTTGCCTTGACTAGAAACTGAGAAAACGAAAATTTCCCTGATTTTCTCAAAGCAATGCTGAGCCGTTTTTGCATGTGTAGTTCTATACTACAAGCCTAGGTAAGTATAACGGTAAATTTCAGCCCATTCTAAGCGATAGTTTTCGAAAAATAACGAATCGGATTTTTTCGTTCCAGTTTCAGTGCTAAAATCGACATTTCTCGAAAAGTACCGCTCGAAATAGGCTGAAAACCTACAGTTATGCTTACCTAGGCTTGTAGTATAGAACTACATATGCAAAAACGGCTCAGCATTGCTTTGAGAAAATCAGGGAAATTTTCGTTTTTTCAGTTTTTAGTCGAGGAAAAAATACGGCAATCGCACATATGGATATCAGATATCGATAGTATTGATGTGAGCGAGTGGGAGGTCCGTAGAAATTATTTGGACGAAGATCTGATTTTTTTCCGATTTTTTGGGCATTTGGAAATCGTTAGATTTTGAGTTCGAACTCTCCGTGGATCAAGCATGGCGCAAAGGCATGAGTGCCTTCTTGTAGAGCTTGCTTCGTTCTATCGAACGGTCCCCCTTACCCTTTGTTGGGCTAAGTCTGCTTGCTTTGTTAAAGCAAGCAAATAAAAACCGACGTTATTTTCTTGACAACTCAATAGATAAATATCTTAAACGCCGAGATGGTCACGTCTTTTTACATGGTAAAAAAGCCTCTACTTGAGCACTCCCATTGTAAAAGTCTCACCCACACTTCACCCGGCACTTTTTGTAAAAAATATATACTTTGCCTGGGATTCCTTTGTAAAGAACCGCAGGCAAAGTATATAATTTCTGATAGCGGAGGGGACAGTTTATAGTGACCACCACGGCCTTAAATGTGTTCATCTACAAAAGTTATGAATTTTTTATGTTAAAAACTCGAAAATCTCCAGAAATCACTAGAACACTTTTCACCCAGGCACTTTTTTCAATGGACCCCAGGCAAAGTATATATTTTCTGAAAGCGAAGGACGAGGCGGTTCCAATGTTGAACATCTTCATGTACCATCTGTTTATCTTCAAAAGTAGCGGACTTTTTTATCCTAAAACTCGTGAATATCTAGAAATCATTACCCACACTCTTCACCAGACACTTTCGCAGACTCCAGACAGGCAAACTATATATGTTCTAGAAGTGGAGCACAAGATGGTTTCAAAAACATTTTCCTTGCTGACGTTGCTGTTCATCTACGGAAATTACGAATTTCTTCTTTTAAAATTTCGTAAATGCTAAAAAATTGTCTAACTCTTCCCGAAATAAATCTTCTCCATGCACATCTTCTATGTATTTTTAATGGGTGATGTAAAAAAGGAAAAAGGAAATGTAAGAAAACACAAGGTGCTGGTCAGAAATATAATTGTGTGCTATCCAGCAGCACATCGGTTCACATTTCAGAAAAAAGACAACCAGTGATGGCAAGAATCGAAGATTGACTAGGGAAAATAATGAGAGAACACCGTGGCTCTTCCTCCCCCAGTCGACATTTTATAATTTCTCTGCCGAGTGAAACACGCTTCACCCTGGAGGGGCTGCAACCACTGTGACTTCCTTTAACGTGGAGAGGTCATTCTCACCTTATTGCATCTATGGATCAAACTATTTTTGGTTGGCTTCGTGACTAGCAAACTTCATCCTGAGTTTGTTTTCTTATATAGCACGTACATGTAATGATAACAACTTCTCGACTATTTTTCATGGCAGAAAGGCGCGAAAGGTGATCTGCTGTTACTAGAAAAGAGATCCGGAATATCCAGCTTCAGTTTTTTTCAAATTGCTCTACGTGTTCAACACTCCCTTTTATGACTCCAAAACTTTTAAAGTCTGAACTCTTAAAATATGGGCCCAGTCTGGCAATAACCATCGCCAAAATGTGGCTTTCGACATACATCACATTTTCAACAAGCTGCTCTGATAAAAAATCAGAAAAACTTTTGCCGAGACGACCAGGCATCTGACTTCTTGCCGCCTTCTACTGGTTCCGCTATCCTCCACTGTCTTCTTCCTGCTCGCACATTGTGAATGTTTTGACTACCAAAAGATGCTGTCTCCACAGATGAATTGTAAACAATTACTCATTTGAGTTCAAGCTTTTCGATGTAGTATCGGTACTAAAGATGTATGGAAATTTTCATCAAAAGAACATTTGTAAATAAAAGTTAGTCTGGATTGCATTGGCTTGGTAACTTTCACCAAACCGTAATCGACGCCTTTTGCAAGCCTGTGTAAGAAATCCTTTTATGAAGCAACGTGAAAACAAATTGTGCAACCCCCTCCCTTCCGGCGAAGAAAGAAGATTTTAAGCAAAAAGGAAGAACAAACTTTGAAAGCTTGGCTATTGATTGACACCAAAAAGTCAATCAGTTATAGGCTAGTAGAAAGAGTGTGCATTGTTGTTTAGCCAACCATGTAATTTGCAGGTAGATGCAAATACTTACAATTAGCACCTTACATGTTAGGTTAAAGGCTTGTGCTGGTAAAAATTTCAGGGCTATTGACCGATGAAAGTGGAATACAATCTAAAGCGTTCAATTTGTCAAAGCATTATTACATGAGCTGCTTGCGAAACCATAAAGAATGGGAATCACATACTGGATATATCCAGACAGTGATCGGAAAGATTCGAGTAAGTCAAGTTTCACAAATCGTTTACGTTAAGAAGCGCACTTTTCTATTTTACCTGCAAAAAAGTGTTTCTTCAAAGCTTTCATTTATCAGTGCAAAACAACGATTTCTAACAGTTTTATGAAGTGCTCGAATTGATTTACAAACCCTGTAGGCAAAAAAATGGTACATGCTATACCTTCAAAATGGAAATGTATAGAAAAAAGTTTGAAAGAAAACTCTCTGACATATACCTGCTGATACTTGAACGTCAAAATTTTAGAATACTGAAAATGACGAGCAGAATGAGAAAGTGCTCAGACAATTCCAAAAGAACATCCGGAGCAGAACTGAGCTTCTAGAACTTTAGGGGTAACATTCTTGTTGGAGCTGCCAGGTGGAGCGAGTCTGCTCTACACGGTCCACTCAATTTGCTCCGGAAGTTCTTCGCGATGGTCTGAGTGTGTAGAATAAAAAATTCTAGAAGAAGGTAGAGTAAAATTGTAGCAATGGGTGAGGTAGATTTTTCGTAATAGATATCCGAGATTGATTTATAGGTCTTATCAAAGGGCATCGGTCATGTGCACTTGTGTAAGATTTTCCAGAATTTTGGTTATTTTCCTCTGATTGATGCCAATATATCGTACTATAATCGATCAAATTATGAACGCGATTTGGTCGATCTCCTCATCTACTTCAATAAAAACGGATTAACAACCGAATTTTTGATGCCAATGTTTTCCTTCCGTGATAACGACACTACCATCATGCAAGTAAGTGTTTCATTCCATTTTTATCAAGGTTTTGTGCAAGTCTTGGGGCAGCGGATGAATACCTCGCTGAAAACGATGTGCCGAAACTAAAGGCTTCATATTAATGCCCTGAAAGTAATAAATTTATTGCCTGTTTATGCTCATGCAACTCTAATATCCTTTACTATTTGGTTGGCTTAAAAGTTTTCGGACATTTCCGGATGAGATCTGCTATTTCTCGAAACTTGATGCATGCCCGACAGAGGTACCATTTGATAGAGCAAAGCAAGCTTTACAAGAAGATATGCACATGCTTGCACCAGCTTCGACCCACCGTAAGTCTGCATTCAGAATCTGAGTCGTGCTGAAGCCTCAAAAAATTGGGAAAAATTCATTTCTCTTGCAAAAAAAGTCCTATGGATATCCAACTTGCTCAAAATTGCACACCACATCAAGCATCCATATGTATCAATGCTGTAATTTTTCTTCAGCTAAAAATTGAGAAAACGTGATTTTTCGTGCTCATACAAAAACGAATCTGTGCTGTTTCCACCATGTATCTATGTGGTACAGTCGTCCTCACCCCACTAGTCGGTCGGTGGTCGAATTTGAATTCGAACTGGAGCAGGCCGGCCGCGGCAGAGCGCGGCAGACAACCCTTCAACCAACCGCTTGCACATGAGCTTTTCTCTTATTTTCTTCGTGTTTCTTTGCTATCTCTCGTATTGCGGCAATATTCTTAATCAGATTTTTAGATTTCGTACCGCTAACTATTGTTTTGTGCAGTTGTACTCGTTTGTTTTACATTTTTTCCAGGTAAATCGGGAAGAAGGATGCGATAGAAGATATTTGGATGAGAAATCTCTTTTCCGGTAAGTGACATATACACAAATGTAATTTGATGAAATGTGTCAACGTGAAATGTTTTTCGTTAGGATGTGTACAATACCGCTCACAGAATGTGCAAAATTTCCCTGAATATCGCAAAATTCCGAAAATTCCGCGAAATTCCTGGAATTTCGCGAAACTTCGCGAACTTTCAGGAGTTTCGCGAAATTCCGGAAAGTTCGCGGAATTTTCGAAATTTCGCGACATTCACGGAAATTTTGCAAGTTATGTGAGTGGTATTGTAGAATGCAAGAAGATGCCCAACGATTGTTACAAGAGCGCAACGATACCAGTGTGGAAGAACGGGGGGGATATAACAATCTGCTCTACATACAATACCGCTCATAATTCGTCAAAAAAGTCGCCGGACTGCGGCGGAGTGCGCTAGAGTGCGTCGGAGTGTGGCGGAGTGTGGCGCAGTGCGCCGGAGTGCGTCGGAGTGTGGCGGACTGCGGCGGAGTGCGCTAGAGTGCGGCGGAGTGTGGCGGAGTGCGGCGGAGTGCGCTAGAGTGCGGCGGAGTGTGGCGGAGTGCGGCGGAGTGCGCTAGAGTGCGGCGGAGTGTGGCGGAGTGCGGCGGAGTGCGCTAGAGTGCGGCGGAGTGTGGCGGAGTGCGGCGGAGTGCGCTAGAGTGCGGCGGAGTGTGGCGGAGTGCGGCGGAGTGCGCTAGAGTGCGGCGGAGTGTGGCGGAGTGCGCCGCACTCCGGCGACTTTTTTGACGAATTATGATCGGTATTGTATATGGAGTGAGTGAAAGGAAATATACATATATTAGGTGCATAATAACATCAAAAGTGGGCGGGGCTTACAGTTCACAGCTCAACAGCGATAAAATCGAAATTTTGAAGGTAGAGAACTATCAAAACCTAAAAATCGTCAAAAATCGATAAAGTCGGTGTTCTGGAGGTTGCAAAATTCCCAAAAATTGTCAAAAATCGATAAAATCGACATTCTGGAAATTGCGAAATCCCGAAAATCGGCAAAAATCGATATTTTGGAGGTTGCAAAATTCCCAAAAATTGTCAAAAATCGATAAAATCGACATTATGGAGGTTGCGAAATCCCGAAAATCGGCGAAAATCGATATTCTGGAGGTTGCAAAATTTCCAAAAATTGTCAAAAATCGATAAAGTCGATATTCTGAAGGTTGCAAAATTCCCAAAATGGAGAATTGGAGAATTTGGAGATTCGCAACCTCAAAAACTTTGATTTTGCCAGTTTTGAAGATTCAACACCCACCTTCAAACCCCAAGGCTCCATTCACTTCACTAGACTTCGCCCACTCAACCGCAAGCCCCGCTCCCTTTTCCTCCCAACTCTACAAAATGAGCGAAAAACTAAGCGAAAAATTTGAAAAAGTGCGGAACAACCTCACTTCCAGTGCTATTATACAGCTAAAACTCGTCCAAACAAGCTCCGCCCACTTTACTCCCCACAACACTATCAAAATTAAAGAAAATAAGGAAAAATAAGGAAAAATCGCGTTTTCTAAGCCTATTTACCCCTTCTCTAGCCCTTATCAGCCTCTTAACCAGGTCCAGATGGCCACGGGAAACTGTACACGAAGCGGTAATAAAGAGAGGGAAAAAAATAAGGGGGAAGAAAGAATAGGCTCCCACAGCCGGAGCCCCTACATTTTCTCCGAATTATATGTGGTGTCCCCCTCGAATACAAACTGAAGAATGGCTATCCCAGCCCGTCATCCCTACTCTCCGCGGAGAAAAAAATTCAAAATATGCACTATCGCCTTTATATAGCGCCTCCTACAGGGAATCTCTAGGCACAAGCTACCCCTAGAAAAATAGAGCTACCAAACTACATGTTAATGGCCACATGAGATTACCCCAGCCCTGCAACTCTTACAGATATAAGGCGCCGAAATCGCCCTTATTGACAGATTTCCCGAGTTCGGCTGTCAATTAGGCACTTTTAATGGAAATTTGTTATTCTACGACCTTCTCTCTAAAAATCATATTTTTAGAGATCTGTCGAATAAAACAAACCACAGCCCCGTAGCTGTAATATTCGCAGAGTTATTAGCCCCCCAACATGCAAGCTCAGGCCGTAAAATTGGCTCCCCCCAAAGTTGCTCCGTAATTCAACCAAAAATCACGTTAGACACCTGTCTCATACTTATACATTACATATTTTTTCCAGCTTCTTAGAAGCAATACACATTGATATAGCGCAATCGCTCCTCACTCTTGGCCTCGGCGCAAAATTTGGTCAAAATATTGAGGTTTTCGGATTAGCCGCAAACTTCACTCATAGTGGTTCTTGGTTCCGGTCTCTACGAAAATCCTATTTATTTTGCACTAGAGAGTCTTACAGTAAAGCTAAAGTGAGATAGAAGTAGCTGAACCAATCAAGATCGCAACTTCGCCTGCACTTTTCCCCTACCTGTTGCGAAAATTGTCTGCAAATTTTTGTGAGTTGAAAACTTTGTGAGCACCTCTATCGGACCATGCTTAGCACAGATCTTTATTTGAATTGTTCGTCAGATTATGATGTTACGAAATCGCCTTCTCATGAATTCTCTTTCAAATTCGAAAGTCGTGTAATTTGGCAGATATTCTATCCTACAATGTGCCACCAGCAGCAAAACAATGTAAGAAATGTTGTTAGCACGTCGAGTACAATACCGCTCACAGAATGTGCAAAATTTCCCTGAATATCGCAAAATTCCGAAAATTCCGCGAAATTCCTGGAATTTCGCGAAACTTTGCGAACTTTCAGGAGTTTCGCGAAATTCCGGAAAGTTCGCGGAATTTTCGGAATTTCGCGACATTCACGGAAATTTTGCAAGTTATGTGAGTGGTATTGTACTCTAAACTATTTTTTTCGATAGCTGAGATCCTCTCAAAAAGTGTTTGTTTCAAAGGGTTAGCGATGCGAAATCTGAAAATATGAATGAAAACATTGCCACAATAAGAGAGATAGCAAAGAAACACGAAGAAAATAACAGAAAAGCTCCTGCAAGCGGTTGGCTGAGGGGTGGCATCCGCCCGACCGACTAGTGGAATGAGGACGACTATACAAGCCCTTCGAAGTATAACCGTAAGTTTACAGCTTTCCCCAAGCCCGCCCTAGTTTTTTCGAAGATTTAAGGATGTAATACCTGAGCGAGGAGAGCTCATTTCGGTAATTTTTGGAGACTAGGGTCTGTAGAAAACTGAAAAATTACGATATATTTCTAATGGTTTGTACTATACAAGTACATAACTGGGAACAGCGTAGTCTCGTTTTTGTATGAAAATGAAAACTTTCGATTTTCAGATGAGAAGAAATACAGGAATGGTACAGTGAGGATCTGATGTGGTGTGCAACTTGCTTGAGCAACTTTCCAGATAATCGCCGGGGGCAGGCGGCCATGCGATTTATGGGCGGGCGGGCACCGAGAAAATACTTTGCTGATTTCTCGCGGTCCGTTAGCGAAATTTTAGACGAATGCTTGGAGAACAATCACGGTTTTCTCATAGATTAGCTGCGGCGCAGTGATTGCATTCTCGCTGACTTTCCGCGAGAATACGTAGAATTTTCGAGGGCGGCACAGTCCTTTGTGGAGGACCGCGCAGCCCCAGGTACTTTCCGCTGAGAAAGTACCTTAAACTAGAGTAATTAAACCAACGGTGACACCTTGTCACACAGAGTCTTACTTGTGCTCGGCGTATGCCCGAAACTGCTCGGAAAAGAGTCCGAGCGCTTGCTGAAAGTTTGGCCAGCGCTCGTTGAAAGGAATTATTTGCCGAGCGCTTGCAAAAAATGCTGTATTGCTGCCCGCTGGCAGAATATGGGACCGTAAAGGAAGTGCCGCCAGTTGAAGGTTTAGCCACACCCAAAAATTCTGTTGACCGCTTGCAGAAAAGCGCGAGTTTGCGGACCGCTTGTCCCCGGCGATTATCTGAGTTGAGGTGCATAGGATTTTTTTAAAACAAGGATATGTATTTTTCCCATTTTTTCGATCTTCAACACGACTCAGATTCTGGATGCAAACTTACGGTGGGTCGAAGGGGTGCTAACTTTTGCATACAATCTTGTAGAGCTTAACTTGGTCTAGTGGCTCCTTTGTGGGATGTACATGCATTAAGTTTCGAGAAATAGCAGATCTCATTTGAAAATGTCCGAGATTTAGCCAACCTAATACAAACGTACTCATTAAAATTAAGCTGATTAACACATTGATGATCGCTTGACACACTTGGTATGTCAAGGCTTGGCGCACCATGTGTATCCTTGAAATGACTCTATTTTGTGTCAAATCCACTCCGGAAGTTTTCTTTTGTGCTGGATCTAGACCAGGGCCCGGCACGCGTTGGTTTGGAGGTTTTTAGGAAACGAAGTCCCCCATGACTTCGCGAAAGTCAGTAGGGAAACCCGTATTCAACCAAAATAGCAACAAAAAAGCGAACAAAGCGCATTTTGAGGTATGCAATATAACAAAAAAGCAAAAAGAAAACATTTCGAGTCGATTACAGGCTCTGCCATTGGGTATAGTACCATTTTGATGCTGTGAATGTCGAAAATCTCTTAGGCCAACCAAATCTGTAGCCTCGACAATCCTGCGATGCATTTTTCGCCACATATTTCAAAGGACACCGCAAGTGATTGGAGCGCGATATCTATCAACGCGTAGTATTATAGTACTTTTGACTCAAAAAAGGGGAGAGGCAACGGTTTGATCCGCTCTCTTCACTATATGATAGATTTTTGACCGTTCTAATCGTCCAAATCAAAATAGTCCAAAACTTATGTGAGCTCTCCGATATTTATGCTCCGAACCAACCCAGTTGGTTTGGTAGTTGGTTTAGAAACCAACAAATTCGAGAACGGATATTAGGACACATAAGTTTTGGGAACTTTTTACATAACATAGTTTGGAGTAATATTGTATACGGATAGCCCAAATTCGGAGCCATGTGATTGTTTGTGCGATGTAAACAAGCCATTTGTTCGTTTGAGTCTTGCATTTGAAATTCGCGCGCTTGCGAAAGAACACGTTCAACTCGTGAAACCTGACATGTTCGTCGTGTTTTTTGGCGCTTCCTCCAGGATCTCATAAAAACGATGTCCCCGTTGCTTCTAACTCCAAAAACGAAGTCCAATTTGACCCCAAACCATCGGTGCGGGGCCCTGATCTAGACACAACCTCTGCTGTTTTTGCCTGCATTCCAGAGTTACCGTAGGTGTAGTGTAGATGGAATTGTGGGTGATTTTATCTAAAAGATGTTGACTGGTCCGTGAAACGCCTGGGTCGTCAATGCGCTAATTTGCGGCCGTTGGAGTTTGTCCGTTACAAAAATATAAGCCTTGTCTGTACGAAATGAACACAACGATACAGTGCTTTATTTTTTGACTATAGTGAAGAAGTTGATTAAAAACTTCAAAAATGCGTCCATGGACTTTTTTTGAAATTATTGCACAGTTTTCACGCTTGGGGCATTTTGCTCAAAGTTATGAGCAGAACAAAGCTGGCAACGTCGCCAAAAAACTACGAGAAGGAAGTAAAAGCTTAAATGCTAGAAAATAGATTGACTTTGAAATGCAATACGACGTACTAAAAAACAAAACTTTGCGTTTTCATAACTAATTATTTCCTTGTTTATCTCCTAATAATCACACTGTTAAGCATGGCTGTTTTTGAAACATTCAAACTTTACTTCTCATTTCTCCCTGTTGCGTCGTCGTAGCGAAAACCTGCAATTTGAGATGCCGCCAAAAAAAGGTTTGAACACATTGCAGCCTTTTTAGCCAATTCCAAAGAGTTTTGTTTGCTTTTGCTATTTGTTTTTGCATTTTACTCCTTTCTAATTTTCTATAAACAACCCTCAACTTATAAAAGGCAGATATTTAACTTTTACTTTTGGGCCCCATCGGGCCTTTCTTCATACTATCGATTATTTTCCTTATTCTTCAGCCCGCCTTTTTTTAAGAACTCTCCTAACACCAAAAGCAAATATCGAATAAAGTTAAGAGGATAGGGATCTACATGAAAAAGTTTTGAATGGTCAAAAATTTTTTATGTAGGACTCAGCACGCCTGCAGCATTTGAGTTACCTTGACCATTTTTGGCTCTGCCTAAGCGCCGCGCTAGAACTGCCTGTACTTCGGGACGTATGGCTGTATCGAAGTACTGTTTTTATCTTCTCTTGTGCGTGCATATACTAAATCTTTGTCATATCATTCGTGTTGTAAAATCAGATCGTTCGTCGCTTAGCAAAAACTTGGTTTCTTGATTTGAAGATTGAAAGATTAAAAGTTGATAATTTTCCTTTGATATTTTCTTCAAATTGCTTTTCAAGTCATCAATGTTGAATTGTCTTTCTGAACCTGCACTAATGCTACATAATTATTGCAGTTCTCTTCAAGAATCGCCTACACCTTCCATCAAAATCTCAAACTGGTGAGATCATTTTAGTGCTTGTTACAACTCATGAAAGAAATCCATCTAAAGAAAGAGTAGCTATGTATGGTCACTGTTTTACAAGTCTAAAAGAACATATATGGCTGTAAACTAAATGGACGTTGTTTGAAAAGTAGTGTTGACTCATAAGATTTTGCATCGAATGGAAACCGATTGGTATGCAGATCGAGACGGGATGGTTGAAAATGATTCAATGTATTAGGTTGTCAGGAAAAAATGTCGTTTTTCATAGCAAAGCCATAAGACAAGTCCAAAAAAGACGAAAGGGATACTATTCAATAGAGCAAAAAAAGCTCTACAAGATGACATCCGAACGTTGGCACAACTTGTTGTTTACGCAAAGTTTGGAGCCAAAACATAAGAGCAACTCTGGTGCCAAAAATTAGATTTTCGCCCAAAAAAAACTACGAACCTCTCACTTGCTCCTGCATGTAAAAGACAATGCACTTATCATAGGTACACTTGCTATATTTCTTCATGCTTAGAAACCAAGAAAAAATTAAAAAATGGGAAATGGCAGACAGCCCCCAGTAGTACTGGGCCCCTCCCACATACGCCTTTGTACACTACAAAACTTCATAACTTTGACCATAAAATTTCCGCCTCGAATGTGCTCTAGTTCTTGAGTAATATTTTTTTCCCGAAAGAAACCCGAAAAAAACGAAAAAAGACTACTAAGGTTTTTCTTCTGCTTTTCTACATTCTTACACCGTAAGAAATACTATGTGGCTTTTATCTTGTGATAGTTTTCACTTCCGAATGTTCCAACGCAATGTTTTCAGAGCTGTCACTACGAATTTGGGGTATGGAAAAGATTCGCCATAAAAACGCTGCCTCCGCGGACTACTGGTCTTTCATGCATGCTTGAGCGTGTGGGATAACCAGTACCCTAATTTTACAGTATAGGAAGTATCTTTTTTGATTTCTCAAGCGAGCCGCTCCACCGCTTAGCTCTATGTTGAAAAAAGAAATGCCGCAACATACTCTCAGGCAATATCCAGCACTGTATACAGGGTGTCCCAAAAATGTGAACACTGTTTGATCGTTAATAACTCCGCCTTCCGCCAAGCTTGAGGCACCATTCTGTAGAGCGAAGTTCAGCTTGGATTTGTAGTATGGAGCGAATCGTCTATCCTTTCCTTACTGTAGGATCGGTACCAACAACTTCTAGTACGTGGATCCATTGTGAGATATGCCTTTTGACAAATTTTTTTAAAAAAATTCAAAAAGTAACGTACAAGGGTTTTCGCGCACGCTGATTCCAATACACAACTTCTTACGAGCGTTTTTAGCTTTTTTGTCAGAGATGTAATCACATCTCTGACAAATGCTGTAAATTCATTTGTTACGGCTTACCGGGACAACATTGGAAAGAAGCATCACGTAAAGTGGAACTTTCATCTTCAAAATTAGCGGATTTCATTACCATAGTGTGTTTTTGGCTTGTTCGGTTTTATTCCGAGGAAAATATGGCCTCGAATTGCCTAAAATGATTGTCCAACTTCCTACCAAAATCCTACAGTAAGAAGCGGTCAACAATTCGCTCCACACAGCAGATCTAAGCCAAACCTCGCTCTACAGTATGGTACCTCAAGCTCGACGAAAAACATGAAAGCAAGGGAGTTATTAACAATCAAAGAGTGTTCACATTTTTTTTTGGAACCCTGTATAATGGGAATTCGTTCCGCTCCTCACGAACTTGCAGTCATGTTGTGCTTATGCTCGCAGTCAAATTAAATCTGTCGCATTGTCCTAATTCTGTTGGCAATGCCTTGAACTACCACGAAAGTCAGTGAATGTGTGCCCTATAGAAACCAAAATAAATATTGGGCGTCGGCCTTGCAACGATGCGCACCTTCGCCACGGCGGCAGATTTGCGTTGAAAACTTCTACTTAGTCGCGTTCTTTCAATGTCTTCAATTTCCGGCCAACAAAATGACAGCGTCGTTCGACAGCGCCTTGCGCAAGAGGGCGCATCGTCTACATGTAATTTTTTGACCTATATTCAGCAAAGATAGTGCAATAATCAGTTACTCGCGTACTCTCCACTGTTTGCTGACAGCAGGTTTTAAGGGCGCCGTCCACCCAAAATGGGGTCGATGAGATTTTAATGCCCAACAGTAGCGGGGTTGCCAACTGAATATTTGCCTAACTATTTCTTCATACCACGCCGCAGGACGCAACAGCCTACCACAACAGCGGCAGCACGCTGCGTCCTGCGGCTTGTGCCGCTGCAGTCGCAGTGAGACTCGCTCGCTCGAAAGTACACTCTCTGAGAACATTAACGTGCAGCAAATATAGAGATACATCCATAGCCGGGCGAAGCTGCGCTGCCATGAGCGTATATTTCACTGCAACTGTAGCGGCGCGCTCCGCAGCATGCCGCATCCTTCTGCGCAGTATGAAGGAACCCTAATTCGCGTTGTTAAAAGTTAATTCCCAAGCAAAAAAATTGCTCCGAATATAGCTTCGGATAATAGTTCGCCACGTGGGCTTCTTCCCTTTGATTGGGCGTGACGTTTGTCCCCCCCCCTCCCCATCTCCGTGCGTGTTCCAATCACCATTACGCAAAACTCTCCTTGTAATTTCTGCGGGTTTGTCGAGGTTTTCGCGAGGGACATGAGAGAGCTCCGGAACGACAAGAACATGGAAGTAGAGAATATGGGTGGACGTGCCTTCAACTTATGAAAAGATGCAAGCCGACCGCGTTTTGTGCCAAATGCATTTGGTCCATCAAAGACAGTTCATAACTAAAGGAGAGTGCCGAGGAAAAACCGAGAATGCACGCGAAAATAGAAGTTAGAGTCGCAACTCGCAGCCTGCGCGAACGGTTTTTACTTGGAAATAAATTTATGCTTTCTCGATTCGCTCACTTTAGCGTCATTGTTAGTTGGAATTTGCAGTCATTGCAGATGGCACACAGTTGAGCACAAAATAATGCACTTTCAGTGCTGAGAAAATGAGGTTGAGTTTGCGTGTGAGCAACTAGCTGACAAGGGAAGGATACTTAGATTTGCTTTCAACATGGGACACATATATTTGAAATCAACGTGAAACGCTGATTCCAAATATGGTGTTTTTGGCTGCTTAGCGTTATTCTGGAGCGAGATATGGTCTCTCTTCTGTGCAAAGTTTACGTGCTCCTCGGCCTACTGGTGCTACGATGCAACGTCTAGGTGGTTTTGCAATTGCATAATGCCCCTTTTCAAAATGGAAAAATCGACCTAAGGCTAGTTTGAGATCTACTTTTGTCGAGCAAATTCTTCTCTATACGTCGTCCAAGGCATTCAGAAGTTTGCTATTTACTCAAAACAGCAAGCCCACAACTCGCTTCGCAGGAGCGCTAAGCAGCTAGGAACAGCATATTTAAAATTAGCGTTTAAAGATGCCAAATATATGTGTTATGTCTCAAAAGGCGAATCTAATTTGGTATTCTTCAATTGTGGGCTCGTAATGTCGGCTCCGGCATTACTGACAACTGGATATTCTCCTTCTATTGAGTCACATATTTTTATTCAGGCTATTGCCTTATGCATAAGGACGAATTCGACTTGTTATTTACAAAAACTATTAAAAGATGTAGCTAATATGTGTTTTCTGGCTCTATATATAGACGATCATCTCTTCATGGCAGATCTACAGCCAACAACGCTTGGAAAATTGAATGAAAGTTACTCATCGGTAAGCGCACCGCTGATACATAGTGAAGTTCAATTATGAGACATTCTTATATATATATATTAGGTTGTCCCGAAAGTCTGTCGTTTCATATTTGAAAATCTGTAACTTTGCGCTATCTCAAAGGATTTGCATCCTTGTACCTATAATTGAAAGGTAAGTTTTCGCTTTCGAATGCTTTGCTTACTAGCTTCTAATACACACTGACTGCAAAAATAAAATTGGTAAAACAAGACCATAAAGACTTTTGTTATTTTATTTTAGGTCGCCAAAAATCTGTACCTCTGCGGAAAATTTGACGTAATTACATAGGTTTTTTGACCTACTCTTTACAGCCGTGAAAAGTTTGTGTCGTTCGGATGTTCTGTGAAAAGCTGTAATTTTCAGAAAAAAATGAAAAATTAAATGATTTTGACCTTTTCTGTAGTAGAGTCGAAATTCGTAACTTTTCACAGAGACGTCAAACAGCACAAACTTTTCACTGTTGCAAAGAGTAGGTCAAAAAATTCGTGCACTTGCGTTTTCGAATTTTTCCGCAGCGTTTCAGACTCTTGGCAACTTAAAATAATCAAAGTTTGTATGATCTTGTTGTCCCAAATCTTTCTCTGCAGTCAGTGTGTCTTATAAGCTAAGAAGGAAGGCATTCAAAATCGAAAGGTTTACTTTTTCAAATAGAATTAAAAGATCGTGAATCCGTTGAGATTGCACAAAGTTACAAATTTTTAAAAATGAAACAACAGAACTTTCGGAACCTATAAGGTTGTCCGGAAATTAATGTAGGTTTTGAATTTCAACCGCAATGAGTCATACACTTCTAATTTCTAAGTAGATTGCAAAACACTATTCGATAGAACAAAGCAAGCTCTACGAGATGACCATCTTAATTCAGCAACAGCTGTGTCAACCACGAGTTTCGAGCCAAAAATAAAAAGATTCAACTGCCGGAAAAAATGAGAAAAATCGTAACTCTGTTCATAAGGATCCTACAAAAGTTTATTCGCTCACGTTAACACAATCCACATAGGGCATCTATATACGCCGTTGCCGTATTTTTTACCGTTGAAAATCAAGAAAACGGAAATTTTCGAGCATTTGCCAAAGTGGTGCTGTGCCGTTCCCACATAAGTGGTTGTATACTACAATGAACAAGTACAAACGTAAATTTCCAGTTCTTTACAAGCCTTATTTCTCAAGATACATTAAATACAGTTTTTACTAGCCATGTGGTCCAAACTAAAATTCAAATTTACCGAGAACTAAAGCTTGTGAAGAGCTGCGAATTTACAATTGCACTTCTACAATTTTGTAGTACACAATTACTTATGTGGGAACGGCACGGCAGCACTTTGGCAAATGCACGAAAATCTCCGTTTTCTTGATTTCTAACAGAGAAAGAAATACGGCAACGGCGTATATAGATCCCCTATGTGGATTGTATTTACGTGAGCAAGTTAGCTTTTTGTAGAATTTCTGTGTATGTTAGTTAGGATTAATCGTAGTTACGATTTTTCTCCATATTTCAGGCAGTTAAATCTTTTTTTAATTTTTGGCTCAAAACTCGTGGTGGATCAGAGTGTTGCTAAAGCAAGATTGTCACCTTGTGGAGAAAAATGGAAATATGGAGAAAAATCGTAACTTAGTTCATAAAAATTCTACAAAAACATAACTTGCTCACGTAAATACAGAGCTTGCTGTGCTTAAGCGATTGGTTTTTTGCAACCTATTTAGATATGAGAAGTGTATGACTTATTGCGGTTGAAATTCAAAACCTACGTTGATTTCCGGACAACTTAATAAATTTTTTGAAAATGTCGGTGAAGATAATTTTTGTAAATTTTTAGAAGATGTTGGTGAAAATAGTTTTCGTAAGTTTTTAAAAATGTTTAAAATTTCGCAACACGTAGCTCACGAACGTGTGCGGACATGATTATGTCTCCCTAAATCAGAAACTATATACCATACCTTGCTCGAATACCGTGGATGTCTTTCCCTGATTACCTGCAAGAATTCTAGTTTGTTGACAAAAAAGTCCATGAAACGTACTCCCTCTAATAAAGTGGGTGCTTTGTGTACGAACCACGGATATGAGAGCACCAGTGGGTACTTTGCACCTGTCACCACTGCTTGAACATAAAATTCTCGGATTTTGAGGCTTCTAATTGTAAGAAAATTGAAAGTGTAACAGGAATTATCCGTAAACCTAACAGTCAAGCGTCTACTGCTTTGAATAACATGATTCGAAATTTTTTGACACATCTTTGCGTAGAATTTGGCGGTAGAGATTTGTGTTTATAATCTCTGCGATTATTTCAACAGCTGTTGGAAACTTCACATGAAAATAGGTGCCGAAATGCAAAGAGACAGCGAGTCAAGATAGTTTAGAGCCCTTATCTGAAAATAACCTTTTACCCTCTAAATGATGGCAACCCAGCTATTTGCGTCTAAAGCAGTTCCAGTAACTTAAAAACAATTTTCGAAGTCAAACTGATAGTCTTTCAGTATTCCTTCTTTGCTGTACAGGTTTTTAAAACGTGAGCGAGCCAACGCCTGGTTTGCTTTCTCTACTTTTGAAAAAATTGAATGTATAGGGCTTATCAAACGCAGTGTCGCCGCTTGCATCAGCATTTCCACTCCCGTGCTGGACTCTGCGTCTCTTCCGCAAACATGCTTTTCTAATCGCTTTTCCAGGGCGAGCGTGGGAAAGGCGGAGCCTCATTCGATTGGAAGTAATTGGAGAGGTATGTTTGCGGAAGGGACGCAGAGTCTAGCTCATGAGTGGATGCTAATGCAAACGACACTGCGTTTGATAAGCCCTAAACGTGTGTGTACCAGTGGCGGTCCCAGGATTTCTGTCCGGGGGGGGGGCAAAAAAATTTTTCGATGAAGGTGCGTGGCCTTGGCTGCGCACTCCGAAAAAACTTTTGGAGTGCTTCTCAAATTTTTTGCGAGCCCATACCCAATACCCTAAAATTAAGAAAAAGGGGCGTGGTGGCCACGCCTCGAAAATTCTTTTACAAGGCTAATTTGAATTTTTGAAAAATTTTGAAAATTTCAATTATTTACAAAAGTAAACAAGTCATATGCACATTTTTATACCCCCCTCCTCGGTGTGCCACTGGTGTGTACATATAGTGACCGCCAAAAAAATGCGAAAGTCGCCCCCCTTTTCATTGCTCATTTTCAAATGAAAAAAAATGACTGGATTGCATGAGATGGTAGAGCTTTTCAAAAGCTACGATCCACCCATTACGCTTTTTGGAAATGTGAATACTAAACCAAATAAAGAACCTTTTCTAAAAAAGCTCTTTCTAGGACAGGTCACAATGCCGCGAATAAAAGTTCAGACGCGAAAATTTTCCTTTAGGTCTTTTTTGGAGTGAAAACAGAAGTTAAGTAGGCAAACTATATTATAGAGTTCAAGTTTATCGAGGACAATAATGTGTGGTTACTTCTAAAAAACGCAAGCTTGTTTATTTAGCTTTTTTTTCAAATAAAATGCTTCTATTACCTTTTTCAAGTTGAATTTCTTCACATGAAAACCTTACCCAAGGCATCCCAACAAGGCTGTTCGATAAAATGGATGCTCTTCGCCATCCTCTTGTATTGGACGGGTGCTGGTGAATATCTTTGTTGAATGGCTCTTAACGGTCACATAACCTCACCTGCCCTCCACCACCGACTTGCCCCGCTTTGCAAGATTGTAGCTCGGCCGGCGGCCACTTTACGAGTCTGTATGCAACATGTTGAAGGAGCATGACTTCATCAACACGAAAGTACGCGAATGAGTTGAGTTTAAAGGATGCCGAAGATTTTACGGATGTGGTAAGAAAGCGCAGCCTTGGAGGTGATTTGAGTAAAGGCTCTTATCAAGTCCAACAGTCTAAGCGCTTTGGGAATCTATTACAAGAAAATTGACAGTTTTGAATTTTTAGAATAGAAATAGAAGTTTAGCCGATAAATCCTTAGCCTACCACTTCTTCACCCACTCGTTGAATCTCCGAATTTCTCTATTCAACTCATTCGCATACCTTCGTGTCGAAGAAGTTACGCTCTTTGGACGTGCCTGCATACAGGCTCGTAAGGTGGCTGGCGGCAAAGCCGAGCTACACTGCAAGGTGCAAGTTAGTGGTGAGATGCAGGTGTGCTAATGTGAACGCATGTCAAGAGCCAAATTCAGCATAGAAACTCACCAGCACACGTCCGATACATAGAGAATGAAGAGAATCCATTTTATCCGGACAGCCTTAGATGTTCTGGGTAGGTTTCATGCAGAAAAATTTGACTTGGAAAAGTAAATCAGATTTTATTTCTTAAGTAGCAAAATAAATTTCAAGCTTGGGTTGAAAGCACTACCTCCACGATGAGCTCTGAAATGTAGTTATGCTTACATGTTCGACTAACTTCTGTTTTTAATTTGAAAAAGATACCTAAAAAAAAATTTTGCGCTTGAAAAATTATTGTTCGCCACATTGTGACGCAGCCATTTTTGGACTTTTTAAAAAATGTCTGAAATTGTGATCTTGATTTTGTGCCAGAGAGGTTTTTATGGTGGACTGTTTCGACAAGTATCGTCGTTTCGGAGACCTGAAATGGATTGCAGTTTTGGTTGATGATGTTTGGAATTTTTGGATTTTCAGAATACAGGTTTCCCGGAGAGCGCAATGTGTGGATGGCAGCTCTCAAAAAGCTCTATCAATTAATGCAAACCAATCATTTTTTATCTTTGTTCTCCATCCAAAAATGAGCAATGAAGAAAGGAAGGCGGCTTGTCCTCATCTTCTTGGGCCGTATGTTCCAAACAGAAATGCAATCCTGAACCGCGGACCAAAATTGGCACATATACACTTCGGGATGGGACGGCTGTCACATGTTTTTCCGTTATCGGTCGACATCGATTTTATCTTTAAAGTTTAATATACGGGGCTAAAAGTTGGCCGAGGTGTGAGTGAACATGCTGATTACGAAAGTGTTATTGACAGGGCCAGGCGGAGCCGAGCTAGCCAGTAGCGCATATGAATTAGAGTGACTATGAAAAAAAAGTGTATGTGTACGATCTAGTCATATTCTCAATACATTTGAATTTGAGTTTGATACTCTGGATAGACACAGCGCATTCACGAACCAAAATATTTCTCATCGCTTTTTAAGCGATGCAGATAAATCTCTTCATCTCTTGATTTGTTTGCAATCGCAGCGTCATAAACTCGCTTGTCTTATACGATTGAGCAATTTCCAAGGCTGGATTGGCACTGATCTTCATTTGATCGTTTCGAAAGTTCTTTCCGTCTTTTCCAGCTTTAAGAACTATAGAATGCAGTTTTTTTCTTTTCAGCAGTCATGTTTGTGCGTTAGTTAATCTTGTGGTCACTGAGGTGATTGCCGAAACTTTGCACCCACTAGCTTTGAGAATTTTTTTTCAAGTCTTCAGCACTTTTGAAAAAGTCTTTGATTAAAGCGCATCGCTACAACGTCTTAATGCCGCATGCACTAGCATCCACGCTGGGGAGGGTATTGCAGCTCAAAAAAATGCTCTACATTCTGGAGCTTTAGATATGTCGATTTCAAGCCTTTTACGTCCGTAAGACTCCACCATCCTTTACTAAAAACATATTGAACGAAAGAAACAAGCTGGAAAATGCGCTTTGTACAGCTTCTTGTACGGTCCCTCAATCCCCTGTGGCCGACCGCTTTTTCTTCAAAGTCATTTTTTCTTCAAAGGTCTTAAGATCAAAGAAGAAACCTTCTAAAGTTGTACTCATTATCTAACCCAACAGTGCTAACAAGGAAAGGATACCAACATTAGTAGGCGAATAAAGGTGAGATATATACCAGTAGATGCGCCTTCGACCGCTGATTCCAAATCTGCTTTCCTTTTTTTGCGCATTAAGTTTCCGGAACAAGTTGTAGGCGTTTAAAGGTCTAAATTTGTTGAGTTTTAGGTGGCCTAGGATTGGCGAAAAGCTGTACAAAAACACCTAAAAGTGAAAAATAATTTTTGCACCGAGCATGTTGTTTGCAAGAAAGGAACAAAGACGATGGAAGTGCATAGCTGTCGTTTTGGAGCTTTTCGCTGATTTTACGCCCTCAATGCTTGGCAAATCAGGTTCAAACGCTCATAACTTCTTTCGGAAACCTATTTCGCAAAAAAAGGGAAGCAGATTTAAAATCGGCGTTCCAAGGCGCATCTAATGATATACATCTCATCTTCAATTGCCGACTAATGTTGGTATCCTTCTCTTGTAAGCATGTTGCTGATAAGAACAAAATGGGTTTTGGAATATCGATTTTTTCGGTAACTCAGCTTTTGACTGGATTATCGCAAATTTCACGATTTTGTTATATTATTTGTTTTTTTTTATCAGAAACATGCTTTGCATTGTTGGGTTAGATAATCAACACATCTTTGGGACGTTTTCATAAACTTCGAAAAAAAAATGATTCTGGTTAAAAGATGGTCCCCCGCATGGGATTATTAGGGAAACTAACAAAAAGCTGGAAAATGCTGCTTGTACAATTCTCGATCCTACGATCCTATACAGAAGTATACAAAAATGGATAGGCTGCGCGAAATTCAAACAGAAGCTTCAGGGTATGGAGCTTTCTTTTAAGCTGCGATCCCTCTCCTGTGGGGATGTTGCTGCACGTGGCTTGAAGGTGTTGTAGTCTCAGCACGATTTAAATGCTTATCCAAACTCAAAGGCAAGGATCTTATGCTCAGATTTGCCTGTTGACCTTCAAGTAAGCTCAACTGATCTGTGCCCATTTAGGTTGACTTGTTCAAATATTTGGCCGATATAAGTCCGCTAGAAGTCCGACATCTTTTCCAAGATACTCTTCTAGTCGAGGCTCCTCCTCTCGAAACAATAAAGCGGTGTCAAAACATCAAGCTCAAGAAATCAGGCAAAATAAGGTTATTACAGGTTTGACGCTGAGCTGAAAAGGATTCCTAAAATTGTTATCGTAAACACCATTATAAGCCATTTCGTCTTCAACTCTTATCGTCACCTGGATGTACGTTTCCATACGTTGTCGACTCGAGGAAATGAGAGCGGAGAGCTGATTAAATTCGTAAGTATTTTGCGCTACTTTCGAAAATAACAAAAATGTAGTTTCATAACTAACAGACACTCTCTATGCATTCAACTCACAATTTTGTAGAAAAAGGGACTTTCTTAACCTAAACTCATACAGTTAACGATTTCTCTCGTAATAAGCTAATGTTCGCGATCGCAGTAACCTACTAGCTTGCGACCGCTTTCCACCCGAGATTAAGCCAAGGCTAAGAGAATATGTTGCTTGCGCTGGCAAACTCCTTCTGCCATGCGCGAATAGCGCTTTAAGACCAACTGCCGCGTTCTGCAGACTTTAAGATTAAAATGAGCTTTATCGCTCCTGCTTACGTATTTATAGGGAAACCAGTGCGTCACCTCTGCTTCGCAGAGGCTCGCACTGGTCTCACTATCTGTATGCCTTACTCATTCCGGCAATAATGACATTGAAACTCACCGCGTTATGCAGACTATCATGAATGATTCGTAAACAGCTACTCATTTCTGAAACTTTTTCATGTGAGATCGGTAAAACCCGCGTGAATGAAACTTTTCTCAGAAGAACAATTGCAAATTTAAATCGGTTCTTGGGTTTTTCATGGCTTGGTAGTCACCCTGAGGACAGTGAACACCGTGGGCCACATCTCTGTGCAAAAATTCTAACAAATGATTAGGTAAACTCTTAGCAAATTGAAGTTTACGCAATCAGTTCTTTTTGGCGCCACCTTCGTAAAGGAATAAACTTTTGTTCACTTTTTTGGGCTAAAGCCCATGGCTTGCACATTAGCTTGTCAAACGTACTTATGACTTTGCAAAAAAAAAAGCTGCTACCTGCACAGTTTTGCTGGCCAGAAGTTAAGTGGATCCGTTTGAAACGCAATTTTTGAGGGATCCATTCAACGGATCCGCTCGTGCTTTTGCTAGTGTACTTTCATGCTGGTACTAAGCGCCGTGCAAAATTTGGGCTCAGGACATTGGCTTAAACATGCTCTACGAATTTCGTAACGGACAGACACACACACGCACACACAGACAAAAAGACGTAAACAATCCTTAGCCCGTTATAATAAGTCACCAGTCTCGCACTGGCTCTACTATCTATATGCCTCATTACTTACCCATAATGATGGCATTGAAACTCACCGCGCAGTGGCCGACTACCACGAATAAGATGTAAACAACCACTCATTTCAACAGCTTTTTCATGTGAGATCGGTGATTTCGCGAGGATGGAACTTTTCGCAGAAGAAAAAATGCAAATTTGAGTGGGTTCCTGGATTTTTCATGGTTTGGTAGTTGCCATAAGGCCAATAACCACAGTGAGCAACACTTCTGCGCAAAAATCTTCTCAAATGGGCCAGTAGAACGTTTTCAAATTGGCCATTTACGCAACCAATCCATTTTGGCGTCATTTTCGCAAAGTAGTAGATTTTTGCCCATTATTTGGGCTAAAGTCCAAGGCTTGCACATTTACTTGTCAAACACCTCAACGACTTCGCAAGTTCTGATAGGGAGCTGGTTTTGGGGTCAGAAGCGAAGTGGACCCGTTTGACGCGCAATTTCTGTAAGTTCCACTCAACGAATCCGCTCATGCTTTTGCATGATGGAGTTTGTGCTGTGCAAAATTTGGGCCCAGGACGTTTGCTGGAACATGCTCCACGAATTTCGTAACAGACACACACACAAAGTCACGTAAACATCCTTAGCCCGTTATTATAAGTCATGATGGTTGATCAGAGTATGAGAAGCTTTCATTTCACTAGATGTAAGTAAACAAATCGATAACTCGATGGAAGGACGCTGCGAATCGTCTCAAAAGTAGCCTATAACTTGCGCGGGGGCCGTATACATAAGTGTGCAAAGTTTTAGCTCAATCGTTTCAACGACGCGCGTTTCTATGAAACACTTCAAATGAACCGGAACCTTACAAACATTGAGTTCTATTTACCCTATTTTCAGGTGTATAAGCCGCGGGGTGGTCCCATCTTATATCGACCATCCCGAATATATGAAAGGACCTCGCAATCAAAGGACCCTACAACCGTGCTGCGTGTTGCTGAACGAATCGCACGGCATAAGGATCGCTTCTCGAACATTGAAGCGGCTGAGCAGCTCGTAAAAAATTCGAAAAAGTGCGGCTTATACATTTGAAAATAGGATATATATAGATTGCTAGAATTATAAAACGTGTAAATTTTTAACTTCAACTTTATAGTACCTATTTGAATCTGACTATCAAGTTCTCAAAACTACGTTTGTATTTAGCATAAACAAACCCGGTAATTCCGGTAACTACAGAGTGAAAAGGTATTTCAAGTGGGAATTCAATAGACGTAGACAAACACACTGTCTAAAGTCGTCAGAATCTTTAGAAATTGCATGCTTTCTATCAAACAGCGACAAACATTTCTTTATGTGTAAGTATGAGTTACCCTTAGCAGTTCACCTTCCACTTGCAATTCCACAACCTTGTCAACTGACACCACATGAACGACACACGTTTATTATCGACCATTGCGTCACCTTCGCTTCAGAGGCTCGCACTGGTGCCACCATTTGTATGCCTTACCCACTCCAGCAATAATGGCATTGAAACTCATCTCGCTATGCGGACTATCCCGAATGAGTTGTAAACAACTAATCATTCCGAATTTCATGTGAAATCGGTCACGTCGCGTGGATAAAACTTTTTGCAGGAAAACAAACGCAAATTTTTACAGGTTGTTGATTTTTCCATGGTCTTGACAGTTGCTATAAAAACAATTGTTACCGTGAGCTACATTTTTGTGCAAAAATCTCGTCAAATGCTGTGGAAAAGGCCTGGCAAATTGATTACATGCAACCATTGAATTGAATTTGAATTTTGATCACTTTTTTGGGCGTAAGTTTATGGCTTGCAAATTTACTTTCTGTACACATCCACGACTCTGCAAAAAGTAAGTACGGACACAACTTTGTGGGCCAAATGCGAAGTGGATTCGTTTGATGCGTAATTTCTAAGAGATCCACTCAACGAATCTGCTGGTGCTTTTGTATGTTGGACTTTCATGCCAGTAGCAAGTACTGTGCGGAATTTGAGCTCGGGACGTTGGCTGGAGCACGCTGTACGAATTTTGTGACAGACAGACGTTCAGACAGACAGAGACACAAAAACACGCAAACTCTTAGGCCGTTATTATAGTAGTAAGATATTTACTTCAAATTTGGGTAATTAAATCTTGAATAACGTGAAACAAGCAAACGTGAAGCATAGTCGATAAATATTAATTGAATAAGTATCAACTAAAATTATTCTTTATATATAAGGGAAGGAAAACCACGCTTAGTGTGCTAACATCAAAAATAAACGCATCTATCTCTATATATATAAAACAAAAATTGTCTGTTTGGAGAGTATGTGAGTTATAGAAATACCCGTTGCTTAACCGATTGAGCTAAAACTTTGCATACAGGAGTGGTAGTAATTTGGCCGAAACCAACGAATGATGTAATAGTTCAATCATGGTTACATTGTGGTAAGCACGATCATCTTTTCACGGCCACTCAGTTCAGTCATACAAAATCCTGAAACAAGCAAGTAACTAGCAGAAAACCATAACTGTTTCATGCTTGTTTCATTCTAAACCAAACTATGAGTTAAACAGCAGGTTAACACCATTGTTCCCTTATCAGATAGAATAATGAAAACAGCACTTCATTTCATGAGACGCAGACGTGAAACCACCACATCATAGTTTAAAATGAAAAAGTACCCCCGACCACTTTTTCGTTTCAAACAATGATGTGTTGGTTTTGCAAGTTAAGAAGAGTGAGGGAGATCATTCTGCAACTTACTATGAGAAAGCTGACTTGTTTACAGGTTGGATAAGGTTATAGGAAGGTGCAAGGCTGGAGACCGAACTGCAAATTTGGTAAAGTGCAATGATTGCCGACAAGCATGAGAATGGTTGAAGTTTCAATCTTCTCCAACGACTTTGCTTTGCAAGATAGCATTTCGAGGTATTCTATTGGTTAATTCGTGGTTTCGTTGGGAAAATGATGTGAAGCTGCTGGTTAGCTGGTGTCATGAAAACATAGTTAACATGATGGTTTCGACCAAATTACTACCACTCCAGATATTCTTGACCCCGGAGATGGTTTCAGGATACTTTTTACTGAAATTCGCTGGATCCTTTTATCGATTTATTGATTTGTTTACATTTTTTGAGAAAGACCGGGAAAGCCACTAGTATTAGGTTAATGCAAAAGAAATAACCGATTTTCCAAGCCTTTTTTCAGGCACCCCCACAATGGTCGGTCGCCTCATCGTGGCGTGGGGGTGACACTGGGTGTCGAACTGCGATGCACAGCCGAGTGTATACTCTGGTAGGGCCTCCCAAGCTGTGAAGGAGTTCGACGTTTCCGGTTTCGGCCGGATGCCTAGCTAAGAATAGGCCACGCCAGATCCTCCGCCGTCTGGCTTCTTCTGGTCGCTAGGCGGTCACTCCCCGCTCCAAGCCCGGGGTCAGCGATCGCCCCGTGGAAATCAAGAGTAGGCCTAGTAAGCCACCTCTTGTAGGGGAACAAATTTTATTACTCAGACAGCAAGAAGATTTAGAAAAAACCCTGTACATCGGATCCCGCCTACGGCGCCGGGTGGTAGCAAGATTGATGTCAGGGTCCTCAGGGCGCCTTTTGGATTGGATTGGAAAACGACACGTCTGCCCGGACGACACGCCACGGAGACTGCCTCATGCTCTGCACCTACAACGCCAGGACAGTCTCCACAAACGCCGACCTCCACGCTCTTCTCGACGCTGCAGAGCACATCAACTACCACATCATCGCTCTGCAGGAAACGAAGTCCAGGAAGAAGGACGTGCGACAGATAAGTGATGGGACCCTCATCATTCGTGGTGAAAAGGCTCCATCACGAAACGTGGGAGGCGTCGGCTTTGTCGTCCACCCATCTATCGTCCATCTTGTCGATTCGCACGAGATCCTATCACCTCGACTAGGCATCCTACGACTACGACCTCC